CCGCTTCATTCCACATTCCGTTCAGGCATCAGCAGCGCGGCTGTGTGTATGCGCGGCTGTTATGCGATTTTGCTGTTATTCGATTTTACCACCCTCGCAAAATCGCACACAGCCGACCATACACCCAGTATGATAGCGCAAAATCACGAATCGCGATACCATACTGGGTGTATGGTTGGCTGTGTGCGATTTTGCGAGTGTGGTAAAATGGCATAACAGCAAAATCGCATAACAGCCGAGCATACACCCAGCAGCTCTGCTGATGCCTGAACGGTATGTGGAATGAAGTGGGCGGGCATCGGGAGGCCACTATGGCACGGGGCAAGCACTATGGGCAGTCTATCTGAAGTGTACCTGGCGTATAAGACGACCCTCCACTTGGAGGCATATTTTTCAGGGCCAAAAAATTGTCTTATTTGCCGGCAAATACGGTAATTTCTTTTAAAATCATTTCTTTCAGTAATATTTGGTTTTATATTTAGTATTTTATATATAATTCTGTATTAACACAGTTTATTACCCATATAACTCAAAGTAAGAAAAATGATTTGGGAAAAGTGAGTTCTACACATTCCTCAATAAACAAATAATAAATCACCTACCTACATGAAATAAAAATCAACAAAACCTTTTTTTTAAATGATACACTAAAGGCCCTGTACATGATATTCATGCATGAGTAGGGTCCCTAGACCTGGCCAGTGATCAGGGCAGTTCGGGGCCTTCTGGCTGCAATCCAGGGCCTTCCTTCCTTGGCTGCCAGCTGCAGGCCATGGCCTTTCTTTGTTCCATGCTGCCCCCTGGTGTTCAGTGCATGTCATAGTGCGCAATCAAACTCCCAGTCTCCTGGTCGAACTCCCAAGGGATCACTTTGCATATTAGCCTTTTATATATGTAGATTATTTAGATAAGTTATTAACTTTTTTGGTCAATATTTTTATAATAAAGGTATTAAATCCCAGACCTTTTTGCCAAGCTAAATTATTGAGTGAACCAATAAAAAACATGTAAAGTTTAGTTCTGATTTTGCTTCACACTTTCAGAAGAAGGAAAAAAAGGATACTGAGCTTTTATACCATGTAGTAAGATAGGGGTTCTGACAGGTTTCCAGAGTTCATTTGGAACCTTCTGAATGCCACCACTCCTTCCCTGATTGGCTCTTGGCCAGACACAGGTGGCAGAGCTTTCCAGGGCTCATGCATTTGCCAGCTGGCATTTCTGCCTGCAATCGCCCTGCTCTAATAGAGGTCATTGGGCCTCCCTGCTCCTGCATGGTGAGGGGCTCATTGCCAGCTCTTAATTAAAGGCAGAGACTAAGGAAAGCTGCCCCTGGGCAGGGTGTTAGCCAGCTGGCTCCCTCTGTCCAGGCCCTCCCTCCCTGCTGTGAACAGTGTTTGCTAAGCAGCTGGGGAAATGTAGCTCATTTGCTCAGTAGGGGAGGGGGCAGGAAGGCAGCAAAAGCCACTGCCTGAACCAAGGACTTGGCAGCCTGCTGTCATGTGGTTGTGGGTGTTAAGATGTGTACATAGGATTTGTGATATGGAGGAAATTTTAATCTGACAGTGATTGAAAGGAGTGGACCAAAGGCAAATTTTGGAAGATATTTAGATAATTCAACATGCGTGTTTACGGGTTTTGATCCCTTAGATATATGCTTTGCTAAGTCCCTTCAATAAGATAGTATTCAACTACTCATAGAGACAGTGTACAATTACACCTATGATAAGGAACCACTAAGACATACATAATGTTAACAGATAAATTAGAATGTTGCAAAATTGTGTGCAAGTGATATTATATAGATACTGCATTATTTCAAGGAACAAATTTCCAGTTTCCTTGCCATGTTTTTTCTTCTTTTTTCTGGCAAAATGTATTCCTTGTGACTTCAATAGTTAGGAGTTCCAAACATGTAAACTTGTTTTTTTTTCTTTTCTTTTCCTTAGAAGATTTTATCAACATTCTATAGGGTTAAATCAAATTTACGTACAACCTATGATGTTATAGAAGTTGTGCTGGGTGCTATGTTTATTATCTCCATCTCTCTCTCTGTGCTCACGATGCTCTTGATAAATAATTTCATCCCATTTTAAATGTCAAATAATAATAAACGGAGTCACTTTAAAACAGAGTTTGAATCAGAGTTTGAACCTTGCATATTTTATGCTTCAAACTTTGAAAATGTTCAAACAGGGCAGAATGACTTTGGCCTAGGCCTAAAGCAACATTGAATCCCAAATAACTGTTTGTAAAAATAACATGGAATCAGATATTATGACTAACTATCTGATGACTACTGAACTGAAATATTTTTTTAAAAAGTTTTAGAATTGACATCACTATGTGAGCTTATCTATATCAATAGAAATGTCTTCCATTTATGTACTCATTCCCCTTCTTTTTCTAAGTATCCTCTGCCCTTGTCTCCTAATCAGAACACTACGTGGGCTTCTGCATTAATCAGCGCTTTACTGAGTAGCTATCCTTTGATCTCAAATAAAGGCTTGTTGCTTCTCACTCTGAAAGGATTTTTATTTTTAGGTTAACATATCAAAGAAAAAACAGAGGTTGAATAGTATACTCACATTTACACAAATACTTGAATTACATGGCTTAATTTCGAACACTGATATTCCTGTGTACTTTTCTTAAAAAAAAATCTTTTTACTTTATACTATAAATGTTAATATTTTATGTAACAATCATAGCTATATCAAATATATCAGAATCCTAACTTTAGTTTTGTCTAGATTGTTTTTCACCAACTTAAATTCTCTTTAAACTAATTGCAAATAATGGCAAACTGATATTATATTATTTCTTACTGAAAATTACTGCTTCAGTCACAAGCTGGGACGTATAATAGCATTGAGAAAGTCTTGCATATTCAGTCACAATCTTGAGCATACTCAGAACATCAGTACACACGATAGTGTATAGAACAGTGATGGCGAACCTTTTGAACTCGGCGTGTCAGCATTTTGAAAAACCCTAACTTAACTCTGGTGCAGTGTCACATATAGAAATATTTTGATATTTGCAACCATAGTAAAACAAAGACTTATATTTTTGATATTTATTTTATATATTTAAATGCCATTTAACAAAGAAAAATCAGCCAAAAAAAATGAGTTCATGTGTCACCTCTGACATGTGTGTCATCGGTTCGCCATCACTAATATAGAAGCTATCTGCCTCTTTTCAAAGATAATCTGCTTTTTCACTGCTGTATTCTTAGCATATAGAAGGGGTATTAGAGAGATGAGAGAAGATCAGTAAATGTTTGTGAATGAAGGAAATTACTGAAATTACTAGCCAAATTTTATAGGATTTAATTATCTACTTTAAATCCTTTGCAAAACTCTAAAAATTTTTTCCCTAAACACTTTAAAGATTAGGCACTTAAATTAATCTATGTATTAAAAAAAACATTAAGATCAATTGTTTACATGGAGTGAATCAGACAACCTATTTGAATTAGAAATGAGACCATACCAATTTGGAGAGGTTTGGATATATTTAACCCTAAGATAAATTTACGTGTTTGATCATATTACATGAGGAATGATAAAACTGCTATGAAAGAAGGAGGTTTATAAGGTTGTATAATTTAGATTTTATTGGTGGTAGTATAGAACACGGATAGAAGTTGACTGATATGTCAAATTATTTAAAACATTAAAATAATAATTAGGACAATTAAAACACATATTTTACAGTTTAGTGTTTACACACACATTACCTATTTCATTCTTACAACATCTCTTGGAGGATATCCAGGCACCAATTCCCTACCCCAATTTTAACAGTGAAGGAAACTAAAGATAAAAGTAAGAATGGACTTGCTGTGTGTTAGCAGGTAATTTCAGTGTTCTCAGGGAGGTAATGCTCATGGCGTGCTGCTATTGATTATAAACTTCATGGAAGAAGAACTGTGGTGTGCGTTTGTTTAGGATTTTAATACACTGTGAAGACTAAATAATAACCATGTTCCCTATTAGCGTGCTGGAGAAGTAAATGTTATATTTTTGTTTTTTTCTTAGGAGAAAAATCATTTACATATTCCACTAAATCTTTTTAAAAATTAATATATGTTTCTCTTTGTAAAGACTGAATTTCCTGGAATATTTTGGAAATGATGGTTTACAGTCACCAACCAAGTCATTGTAATTAAAGACCAATTCTTAAAAAAGAGGAAAGATATCTCTGACCATTATTTATCTTTGTGTGTCCTTTAATATCTATCAGAAATGTAATACATGTAAAAAGACCTTAGGGAAAAAACAAGGTTAACCAAGAATTCACACAGAAAAATAAAAGAGAAAGTTTAAAACAGGGACTTTGTGTTTTAAATCTTTATAGGCCTAAGATTTTATATTCAGCATCGTAACTTCAGCAATGAGAGGGGTTACAGGTGTTAGTCTAGACTTTTTACAGTTCCTCTTTGTTTCAGTTTCCCAACTACCTTTCCAGTGATTGTTTTCACTGTCCCCATTTACTACACACCCAAACAGATAATAACAATTTTTAAAAAGGTTTAAGGGAAAGTGAAAAAAATAGAAAGTTTGTGAAAATGAAACTATTTTTTGCTTTTATGTATTTTTAAATATTCTTTGTTTGGACTTAGCAAGTTGAAATGAAAGTTCTCTAGTGAAGCAGACATTGCCTCTCCCAAGCCCTAAATATGATTATAAATCAAATTCACTTAAGATATAAAGCATAAGTCTTACCGGATAGTGTACGAGACACTGTCACCTATTTCTATGAACAGACAGCATGCTAGATGTGCTCCAATAAAACATTCTGAGGAAAACAAGCACACATATAACAATACTAAAATAGTCTGTAAGATAATTTACCTCCTGTAAATTGTATTTTAAAAGTCCGAAGATTGATTTTTGCCAAAGGCAGATATGGTGACATGTCACCCACCATCATTGAGTTCTAGACAACACCACAGATAGCACACCTAGTGTGTGTAGGTGTGTGGGGTTTTTTTACATTATTATATCTACAGTATATCTATACTAAGAGAAATTAGTTTCTGATCTGTCTTCTTATAGATGATTCTAAGTTTTGCTGTCATTAGTAATTCATATGTTGACTTTTTTTTATTTTATTGTATGTACACGTGTAATCCTAGGACCAAGAGACCAGCTACACAATCATCAAATCGAAAGAGACGACTATGACTGCAGAGGGCTTGAAACCAGCTTCAGTGTATGTCTTCCAAATTCGAGCACGCACCGCAGCAGGCTACGGTGTCTTCAGTCGAAGATTTGAGTTTGAAACCATCCCAGTGTGTAAGTCATTTTAATTACTGTCAACTCATGTCTCTGTAATGGTTACCAGAAAAGAGTCAGTGGATCAATACTCTCCCTGGGCACGCTGTCAGCCTTCCGCTGCTTCGCTGCCTCCCAGGCGTGACCCTTTCTGGTGGGAAGCCTCTGGATGCTGTGACCGTAGGTTGGCGGGTTAACAGTCGGGCCTTACTCCGCATCCCGTTAATTCTATGGGGAGGTGAAACATGAGATCCTTAAGAAATGTTTAAACCTTGCTTTTAAAGACGTCCGACCCACCGCTTCCATACTTCATTGAATTATTGTCGTTTACTTTTTAGTTGGTTTATTGAACAGTGCTACCAGGCTTAGTCTTTCTATGAAAACTCCACAGGGAGCTTTCCTGACTATTGATTTTGGCAAGAAAATGGTGGTCTTAGGAACCAGCCTGATGGTTTTAAAATGTCAAAATCTCTGGTAGTATCGCTGAGTAGAGGGTCTGAAAATATTTCTGGACAACCTTTCTTATGCCATCCCTCCCACCCCCTCAGAAAATAGCATAAAACCTTTTCCTCTTTAATGGCAAACAAAATATTTAGATTACTTACTCGTCTTAAAGTACATGTTAAAACCAGACTAGAAGAAGACAGAACTTCCTTGTTTACAATACATGTAATTATACATACTTTAAAAAGCCAGGCTTTGTAAGAATTAGTGATTTTAAAATAGAGAAAATAAAATGAATATTTCCTCCTTTTGAAAACCAACAAAATGAGAGCTAACTTCTGAGATTTACTTTGCAATGATTAGAAACGTAATTAAATTAAAATGTCAATAACACTATGAATTGCAGATCTTTAAAAAATAAAGATATACTATTTAAAGCATGTTGAACTGAATTATCTAAACAACAATTTTTCATTATATAAAAAGTAGCTTTGTTCTGACCAGTTTGGCTCAGTGGATAGAGTGTCAGCCTGCAGACTGAAGGGTCCCAGGTTCGATTCTGGTCAAGGGCATGTACCTTGGTTGCAGGCACATCCCTAGTGGGGAGTGTGCAGAAGGTAGCTGATCGATGTTTCTCTCTCATCGATGTTTCTAACTCTCTATTCCTCTCCCTTCCTCTCTGTAAAAAATCAATAAAATATATATTTTTTTAAAAAAGTAGCTTTTTAAGTGTTACTTAATTTTATACAGTCTAGGATACCCTGGAAAATAATATAAATTATATTTTCTGTGCAAAGAAAATTCTATGTCTGAAGTTTAATTGAAGCTAATGAAATATGAACATTTAATACTATTCATCAAAGTTCCTTAATAAAGAATAAATTAGCCACAAAATCCTTATAACATTGGTAATATTTTGATTATTTAGTCTCACACCTTAAACCCTAAATTGGATTTATGACAAAAGGCTTGTTATATAAGCTGGGCATGCTAATAGGCCTTATTTCTGGTTTGGTATCATTAGTACTGCATAATGCTTATGCGGTTTACCAACTCTGGGAACAGTATCACCAACCAGTAGCTCGCGATATTCTTGAGTACATTGATAGCAATGCAAATAAAAGATCCAGCTCTAAAAAATTACAAAATTCTACTTAGTTTTAGGATGTTGGCATGTTCAGAAACTCTTTTTTTTTTTTCACCCAGACCTTTTAATACCTTTCCTTACTTTTTTAAATACATATTTTTATTTTTATTGACTTCAGAATGGCAGGGAGAGGGAGAGAGAGATAGAAACATCAATGATGAGACTCATTAATTGGTTGCTTCCTGCAAATCCCCTACTGGGGATTGAGCCCACAACCCGGGCATGTGCCCTTGACTGGAATCGAACCTGGGACCCTTCAGTCAACAGGCCAACACTCTATCCACTGAGCCAAACCAGCTAAGGCCCTAACTTTATTTATTTACTTAAAGAGTAAATTCCAGTTATGCCAAAATTCATCTATCTGAGAACTGAGAAAACTAATATGAAGTCATTTTCCATATACTTTTTAAAATGCTCACATAAGCCTGTCTACTTTTTATCATTTTCTACATAATTTCTAGAGGAAAAAATATCAGTCAAATATTTTTATACTTTAAGTTGACTTTAGTGTTATTAATAGATACTAAAAATATTTCAGGGCTGCTCTGCCTCCTAGTTATTAATGTGGAATTTTATTTTTACTTGAATATATGTACATATATTTGCAAACATTTTTTAAAAGACTTTTTCTTTGTACAATGTACCTATTTCATACCATCCCCCTTTGAACTTTATGTAGACTCTTTTCTGGATATAATTCAACAAGGATGTATTGAGCACCTGTTACATATAAGTCTTCGTTAAGCTCTGGACAAATCATCAAAAGTAATACCTGAAACTTCTCTCCAGAGGCTAAGAATGCAGTCTATTTAATTCTAAAGGATGGAATATTGTTACAAAACCATTTTAAAATACTGATTTCATTTATTATTTATCTTATTTTATTCTACACATCAAAAGATTTTCACTGTGGGCATTGCAAGTGATTCAACTTTAAGGAATAACCTATCACTCCTTTTTTAGTCAAATACGGAGTTAAAGAATAAAAAGGTGATAATTAAAATAACCCTTCCTTTTCAGAGCTTCTGTAGCATTTCTGTTATATGCCAATAAAATAATTCAAGTGATTGCACAAAGTACTGCACAAATAATTGTCAAATGATTGGCATATAACAGAAATGCTAGAGAAGCTCTGAAAAGGAAGGGTTAATTTAATTATCACCATTTTTATTCTTTAATTCCGTATTTGACTAAAAAAGGGGTGATAGGTTGTTCCTTAAAGTTGAATCATAATATTTATTTAATATCATAATTTAGTACTTCACTTACATATATTATTTTTATAAGAGTCTGAAAATACTAGAATGCAAGAATTATGGTATGTTAAATGTATTTTCATGTTTTATAATAACAATTTTCTTTTGATGGATGACAAGAATACTGGCTTTCATGAGTCACCATTACTAAGGAAAGTCTAGCCTATTCAGGTATGTTAGGAAAGACAATTATCTGAAGACAATTGCTTTGCACATATACTTTAAAAAGAATTTTCTAATTGGGTACTCAACTTAGAATAATAATGCATAGTATGATACATTGACACATTATGTTATTGGTTTGCTTAATTTTAAAAGTTTATTTAATCATTTATATTATACCTCAGTCATAAAATTGAAGGGCTTTCATTTCATCTACATTATCTTGGGTGTCACAAATATAGTCCTAAAATCAAATGCAAATAATAGTTAAAATAGCAAAAAATGTTTATCTTAGAAAGAATATCCACTTTAATTTTGTTGTGCATATAAATAATGTATTTAAAATTGACCCTTTAAATTATCCTTATTCCTAACAAGTAATGAGAAAAACACCAACAAATAAATGTAACATAAATGAAACCATCAAGCCAAACTAGTTAGCTCTTTTTCTGTTCTTTTTTTACACAAATTGTTTTATAATTTTAATAGTATCAGTGAATCTGTTTTCATTCCTACTGTCCAAGAAACATATTTATGTTTCTTTTATAATTTTTCCCCCAATGCATCACTTCCTTTAATCCAACTACTTTGATTTAAATTTGTATAATCCAACTCCTGGAATAATGCTATTCTGTTTTTCACTGAGATAATTGTAGATTCACGTGCAATTGTAAGCAACAATACAAAGAGAACTCTTGTATACTTTCTTGTTTCCCCCAATGGTAATATTTTGCAAAACTATAGTATCATGTTAAAATAAAGATACTGACATCAATGGAATTCATCAATCTTACATGTCCTAGTTATCGTGTGTGTGTGTGTGTGTGTGTGTGTGTGTGTGTTAAATTCAATATAATTTGGTCAGTTGTGTAGGTTTGTGTATTTACCATCTCAGTCAAGATACTGAATAGTAGCAAAATCATAGGATCCCTCCTGTTGCCTTTCTATAATCACATCCACTTCCTTTGGTGAAAATTCCTATTCCATCACGAATTCCTGGCAACCATTGATTTCTAAACATGCATCCTAAAATTCTGACATTTCGAAATATTTTTTAATTGAGTCATCTAGTATGTGACCTTTTAGCTTAGAATTGGCTTTTTTTACTCAGTATAGAGATTCATCCAAATTGTTGAATATATCAATTTTTTTCTTTTTATCATTGAGTAGTACTTCATGAGGTGTATATACCCCAGCTTATTTAACCATTCACATGTTGAAGGACATCTGAACTGACTCCACTTTTTGCTCTTATAAATAAAGATGCAATGAACATTTAGGTACATATTTTTGAGTCAGCCCAAGTTTACATTTCCCTGGGATAAATACCTAAGAGTACAATTCTTGTATCATGTGGTAGTTGCTTATTTAATATGGTAAGAAAGTGCCAGATTATTTTCCAGCATGGCTGCATCATTTTACACTCCCACCAGCAATGAATGAGTGATCAATTTCTCCACATCTTCATCAGCATTTGGTGCTGTCATTATTTCCTTCCTTCTTTTTTAAAAAAATTATACGGGACAGGTGGGTAGTGATATTTTATTGTGGTTTAAATCTGAATTTTCCTGATGGTTATTAAGTTCAACAACTTTTCATGTTTTTATTTGCTTGCCATGCTGTTTTAAATTATCCCACTATGTAATCATTATAAAAATGGTAACTTTGATCATATTATTCTGATTAAGAAAATTAATAGATACGTATTGCTCTAGGAAACAGATCCCAAATTCTTAGCTTATCCTTCCATAGCTCTCATAATCCTGCTCTAACAACACCTCTCACCTTCCATTTCAACTGCTTAAAAATATAGCTAAAATCTAGAGACTATCTATGTCAGGGGGCCTCAAACTACGGCCCACGGGCCACATGCAAATACAAATATTGTATTTGTTCCTGTTTTGTTTTTTTACTTCAAAATAAGATATGTGCAGTGTGCATAAGAATTTGTTCATAGTTTGTTTGTTTTTTTAACTATAGTCCGGCCCTCCAGCGGTCTGAGGGACAGTGAACTGGCCCCCTGTTTAAAAAGTCTGAGGACCCCTGGTCTATGTAATATGGGTTTGTAGCCCAGGGTGTGAGAAGCAAAGTGAGGGAAAACAATGTGCGTTTCCTACATATGCTACTTTACAGTTTCTAATCATGACACATGGTCATTGAGAAAATAAACGTTGTTATTTACTAAAGAATCAATAAATAAATCAACAAAGGAAAGTCTGGTGAGGATGTGGAAATAAAAGGGGATCTTAGTACACTGTGAGCAGGTATGCAGACTGATACTGGTACAACCACTGAGGTAAACAGCATGGAGTTTCCTCAAAAACTTAAAGGTAGGCCTAGCTGATGCAACATCTTGGGAGAGATAGAAAGGGTTCCAACAGTGGAGTTAGGTAAAACAAAAAGTTATGCAATTATATTTAACAATGGAGTGTAGAATTGACTCTATGTTGTCTCTAAAGTTTAACATCACTAAAACATAGGACGTGGGAGTGGATTTGTGTGCTGAGAAAATGAGGAAGACTCATCATGGAGAGACTCAAAAGCATTGGAGCAGCAGTTGGAGTCCAATCCAAATAATTTTTATAGGCCAAGTCTGCATGGTTTTCTCTAGAAACAGTGCTCTTGCCAAAAAGAAAGGTAAAAGTGAGAAAAAGCAATGGTTCAAGTAATCTGACTTTAGAGAAGATAAAGCAAATCTTAGGAAAGGCTATTAGTGATAGTGGGCTATCTTTTCCTTACCCTCTTTATACTGTTCACCAGGATTAAAATCCCTACTCCAGATCTCAATATCAAGGAGTAGGAGAAAACAGAGTGAAGATCCATTAAATTGCAACTATTAAATCCGAGAAAAGGTTGAATAAGATAGTAGATTTAGGTTGTAAATAGTGATTTTTCTTCGTATGAACAGCTGTTGATGATATTGAGCTCTAAACGCTGGTCTGAAAGGATTGAAAGTGTAGATCAGTTCAAGAAGATGGTCAGAGTGAAACCAAAATCTCAGTGGAACCTCCAAATTATGAAACCGAATGTAGTGTGTTGGGTCTGAGTTCCTTGTTTCAAGAAATCGAATAATGAAGTCAGAGACAAAAACAGTTAGTGGAAGCAAAGTTTATTGGGACCATCCATGTGAATTTAAGTATATTAATCCATGTATAGAGTCCCACATGGCCATAAACCATGGGAGCAACAGGAGTGCATCTCCTGCCATTAACCTAGCGGCTGGAAGAGAGAGAGAGAAAGTGAGCACACTTTTTTGTATATATGCTTGTTAGTTCCTGATTAGTCCTTTCAAAGAATTTTGCCTTAGCAACAGCCTTAAGATTGGTTTATATGCCTTAATATTTTGTGGCTGGTTATCTACAAGTTGTCTGTCTTAGCAATATTTTAAAGCTCATGTCTCCCACAAGCTCCCTTCCTACCCTACCCGGTTGGGTGTATCAGTAACTCCACTAATTTTACTTCCTTTCCTTCCCCCACCTCCCTCAAGAGAGTCAATTTTGGTTAGAAAGAATCAAGGGACAGGTGACAGGAATAGAAAGGGAAGTGTTTAGATGTCCAACATTTATCTGGGGCCAAGATCTGAGAAAAGGTTTGTAAACAACAAAACATGGGAAGTAGGGTTAATATTAGTTTTGATACTTAGGATTTGTAATTTTGGAGGTGAACTAATGCCTCACAATTTATCAGAACCATTGTCATTAAACTATAAGCATGTTGGGTATCCTATTGAGGATTTCCTAAGAACATCAGTAAAATGTATGATACTATTTTAATTGGGTTTAGTTATCAGCACAAAGAAACTTTTTCTTTATTATTGAGGTATTATAGGCCTGGTGCACGACATTCATGAACTCGGTGGGGGAGGGGAACCTCAGCCTGGCCTGTGCCCTCTAGCAGTCCGGGAGTCCTCCAGGGATGTCCGACTGATGGCTTAGGCCCAGGGGGAGTGGGCCTAAGCCGTCAGTTGAACATCCTTAATGCTGCCGCAAAGGCCGGAGAGGCTCCCGCCACCATGGCTGTGCTCACTAGCCATCAGCCCGGCCTGTGGTTGAGCGGTGCTCCCCCTGAGGGAATGCACTGACCACCAGGGAGAAGCTCCTGTGTTGAGCATCTTCCCCCTGGTGGTCAGTGTGTGTCATAGCGACCAGTCATTCTGCCATTTGGTTGATTTGCATATTACCCTTTTACTATATAGGATAACTATCTAATCATGTCTATATTCCTTTTTAATTGTAATTGTATTGTTAAAATATAAAATATTTCATCTAAATCCATGTATTTTAAATAAAAAATAGCATAAACAAATCTAATCTTACTGCCAACTTAAAGTATTAAAATTTGCTTTGATATTTTTTTCAAAAAAGTGGTCTTATTTACAAAGTACAGTATACTTTCTGATCATATTCTGCTTCAAAATATGGTGTCTAAAATTATATCTAGAATAATGATATTACATTTAACTTCACTGGCGTCATAATCACATAATTTTGGACGTCAATCTATGTCTATGTAAGGTAACCAGACTTTTTCTTCTTCTATAGAACAGCCACATGCAAATTCTAAGCATGTCAGAGCACCTCCTATTTAGACTAAGTTGTTTGAAATCAAGGGCTAAGTCCCACTTATCATGAAAACCAAAGATCCCTAGATGACTACTCTGCAAACAATTACACTGTTTCTCTATGATGACAAGGAAATAATCAGTGACTTAGTGATTCTTTCAAATCTCCATTTGGAGAGCAAATATTTTTCCCTAAATATGTGTTTTTTTTTCAATGACACACTTTTGAGAAGATATATTAGAGGGAAATCCCAGCCTAGTGTGGGTGAATTGCTTAAACCATGCATTGATTATAGACCATTAAGCAGTCTTTATTTGAATGCATATGATGACGTTAACGACAAACTCCATTTTCTGTCTTCTATCAGCAGTTGCAGCATCCAGCGATCAAAGCCAGATTCCTATAATTGCTGTGTCTGTGACAGTGGGAGTCATTTTGTTGGCAGTGGTTATGGGCTTCCTCCTCGGTGGAAGGTAAGCGATGAAGCTGTGATTCTCAACTCTTGCAGCTGGTGTCTGCCCTTCTTTGATCTGACCATTTGGCTGTTAAACACATCCCAAAACAAATCAGGCAAGCAGCACATTTATTCGTAGACAACCTCAATGTCTTAGGTATTTCTTAAGCCTTACCTTGTCCCTGTGAGGGCTAGGTTGTAAGCACACAGTTTATCTTTGTCAGGTATGCTTTCTTCACAAGAAACGTATTAACTTATTGTTTATTCTGTCATTGATAAAACCGTATCTTTGATAGAGTTTTTTTTAAAAAAAAAAAACTGACATTTGTTTCCTCTCAGAAGTATTTACGGCTGTCTGCTTTGGTTTTAGCATTTGGGATAGACGATGTCTGTGCCCAGTGGGTTGAGAGGAATAGGACTAATAATTCAAGTTAGCCAGCATTCTGGCCCCACGAGGTGATGGATACAAAGCAGACACTTTGGCAAACAAGCATTTTGTGACATAACCAGCCCGTTTACTGCCTGCTTTTATTTTCAGGTTCTGAATGATTTCAACCTAAATACATCAATCACAGTATATGTGTATTCAAAGGAAATTTTATTGAATGTTTTGTCAATAGATACGTTAATATGTGTATCATATATATACATTTTTATTTTGAAAAAAAATAAAATAGGTAGAGTCCCAATAAAAACTTTCCTTAAATATATATAAATAATTAAACGGACAAATAGAAACATGATTGTACTCTATTCGACAACAAACATATTTAAATATTTGACCTAGGACATTGTTAAAAGGGGTATTTAGTAATGAGAGCTTCAATTTGAAAATGTTCTGGTATAAGAATCCTATAGAAAACTTGGTGAAAGTCTTCATGGAAATACTTAAACCTGCACAAATATGTGAGATGAACTGTAAGGCCCCCCCAAAAGTCAGGAAATCAATATTCATATTGATTTTGTTACTGTTCTAGTCATTTACTTTTAATCTTCAGCATCTATTCAAGTCATAAAAATGCAGAATTAGGAACTTTTCAATACACTACATATTTCATTCTAAAAAGAATTATGACTATATTCATAAATTGCAGTAGCAACAATTTATTTTCATAAATCTTTTACTTCCTTTAAACACCCTTTCTCTTTGTACTTGAAAATTCCATTTCTTCTAATTCTTGTCATTTAAGAGTCCTCAGGCTTTTCTTAAGAATATATGTAGAAATCCATTGCCTACTTTTAATGTTAATATAACAGCAGTGCATTTTTAGAAAATCTCTGGGAAGCTGCTTGTGTGATCTGTGAGGACAGCTAGCCCTTTCCAGGAAGAAAGCTGGGGATCTAGTGCCCACTGATCTCTTCTCTCTAAAGGCACCTGGGGAAAAGTCTCTCCCTTTGTTCCAGATTTCTGGAAGATGAGCTAATTCCACCAGTCTTGTCTTAAAAACTTTGCTCAGATTTTTATCAAATAAGATCACTAAGCTGAGTAAATTGTAATTACTAAAAAAACTACCATGTGAGAATGTGTCTTTTCTACCCCAAAAGGGTAGATAACTGGGATACATTTGGAGAGCTGGTTTGTAATATGATATATTTACTTCTGACTGAGAGGTGAGTTGTTTCTTCCCTTCTAATAACTCCAGAAGCATTACTTATATTAAGGAAATTGAGATCATAAGAAGGTATTTTATTTGTTGAGCCCACACTTAGGAGAAATGAGTAAAACAGGAAGAATGAATCAAGGTCTAGAAGCCAATAAATTTGTGTGTGGGTTTATTAAAAGACAAATCAAATATAACAAATATTTTATTGTAATCTTCTCACACTATATTTATTTAACCTAAGAAAGGTTGATGTGAATTTATTGATGACATGCAGGTATATGGATTCTTCTTATCTGTATGTGAAAAAGCCACCTTTTGTTCATATCCTATATAATAAAAGAGAAACGTGCAAATTAACCATCCCTTGGCTATGCTCAAGCCACGCCCACAAACCTCGCCGATGGGCCACACCCACAAGCTGACCAGAGTGACTATGCAAATTAACCTGACAAAGATGGTGGTTAATTTGCATACGCAGGTGTCAGGTGCCCCAGGAGGCGACAGTGGCCATGGCTGTGGGCTACCAGGCCGCGGGCTCCTAGGACATTCACTGGCTCTGGGAGGCAAGGCTGTAGCCACTCCTGCAGGCTCCAAGGACCGTGTGGGCAGAGAGCAGGAGATTTGGAGGACTTGGCAGAGAAGAAGACCGCTGGACATAGAGCAGAGCAAGAGAGAGGGAGGCTTGGAGAGCGCAGCTCCTCTGTCACCCCAGCTTCCTCATCACAGCTGTGGAAACTGACAGCAGGGAGGAGGAAGTCCCACCCCTACAGAATCAGCTAGAATCAGCCTTTGGTCAGACAGCTCTCAGCAGCCTGATAGCCAGGACTCTCATTCACCTGCATCTCAGACCATGATAGCAGAGAGGTGGGACTATGTCTAAAGAACAACTTTTGGTACAAGGTAGCTCTGCATCCGGAAGATGCCGGCAGTATCAACAGAAAATGTCTGCAGAGCAGCGTGCATCTGATCTTGAAAGAAGGCGGTGCTTGCGACAGGATGTATCTGAAGACCAGATACTGGAAAAACGTCGCTCTGATGCCGAAAAACACTGGCGTTATCGACAGAAAATGTCTAAAGACCAACATGCCTTTGAAGTTGAAAGAAAGCGGTGGCAACAACAGAATATGCCCAGAGAACACTCATCAACAAGTACTACCAATACCGGTAGGAACTGCCTTCTCAGCAAAAATGGAGTACATGAGGACGCAATTCTCGAACATAGTTGAGGTAGAATGACTGTTCGATGTGAATTTTGCCTATCACTAAATTTCTCTGATGAAAAACCATCTGATGGGAAATTTACTAGATGTTACAGCAAAGGGAAAGTCTGTCTAAATGATATACATTTTCCACATTACCCGGCATATTTAAAAAGATTAATGACAAATGAAGATTCTGACAGTAAAAATTTCATGGAAAATATTCGTTCCATAAATAGTTCTTTTGCTTTTGCTTCCATGAGAGCAAATATTGCATCGCCATCAGGATATGGGCCATACAGTTTTAGAATACACGGACAAGTTTATCACCATCCTGGAACTTTACATCCTTCAGATGGTGTTTCTAGGAAGTTTGCTCAACTCTATATTTTGGATACAGCTGAAGCTACAAGTAAAAGATTAACAATGCCAGAAAACCAGGGTTGCTTAGAAAGACTCATGATCAACATCAACAACCTCATGCATGACATAAATGAATTAACAAAATAATATAAGATGTTACATGAGGTAGAAAAGGAAGCCCGATCTGAAGCAGCAGCAAAAGGTATTGCTCCCACAGAAGTAACAATGGCGATTAAATATGAGCGTAACAGTGACCTAGGAAGATATAATTCTCCCATGTAACAGAGGTTCCTGTCATATTCAAAAATGAAGATGGAGAATCTCCCTTCATAAGGGACTTGCTCATTCATTGTAAACCAGATCCCAATAATCCAAATGCCACTAAAATGAAACAAATCAGTATCCTGTTTCCTACATTAGATGCAATGACATATCCTATTCTTTTCCCACATGGTGAACAAAGCTGGGGGACAGATATTGCATTAAGACTCAGAGACAACAGTGTAATCAACAATAATACTAGACAAAATGTAAGGACACGACTCACACAAATGCAGTATTATGAACTTCATCTCTCTGTGTGGGACACGTTTAATCTTATTTTAAATGCAGGAAAATTAACTCAACAGTTTATTGTGGATTTGTATTAAAAAATAGAGGCCAATCAGATAAATTTCATCAAAGCAAGCCAATCTAAGTTGAGAGTTAAAAAATATAGTGGTTTGATGGATTATCTCAAGTCTAGATCTGAAAATGACAATGTGCCTATTGATAAAATGATAATACTTCCATCATCTTCTGAGGGTAGTCCCAGAAATATGCAGCAGCGATATCAGGATGCTATGGCAATTGTACCAAAGTATGGCAAGCCCGATTTATTCATAACCATGACATGCAACCCCAAATGGGCAGATATTGCAAACATTTTACAACGCTGGCAAAAAGTTGCAAACAGGCCTGACTTGGTAGCCAAAGTTTTTAATATTAAGCTGAATGCTCTTTTAAATGATATCTGTAAATTCCATTTATTTGGCAAAGTAATAGCTAAAATTCATGTCATTCAATTTCAAAAACGTGGACTGCCTCACACTCACATATTATTGCACTTAGATAGTCCAAATTACATTCCTCTAATGAATTCCCTTTCAGTGTGCACGAATTTAGTGCTCCGGGCTAGTAGTATGTGTGTGTGTGTGTGTGTGTGTGACTTAAAAGCACTTTGTTTTGTTATATTTATAACATTACACAAACTATTATTGCGTAACTGAATATAGCTCAGCATACAGGTACACAGAAATTCCATATGTCCCTGAGTTTCTTGTACAAGAATAACTAAGTTTTAGTATAACTCAGTTATACTGGAATCACATTTACACCAAAGACACAAATTTAATTTTCATTATAACTAAGTCCAAGATGTGGTTAGATAAAATTGTAAATGCATTGTCTTACAGAAATATATTACTTTTTAAAAATAACAACCTTATGAATTTATGGATTGTTGACTCATATGAATTCCTTTAGATTGTCAAATAAAAATTTTTAAAAATGGCAACAGCCAACACAACAACTGTCTAGTGTGAATGAATCATAATAATATCTATTTTTGTCAGAAAGTCAAAAAACCTGTGTTTTTTGGTGTGCTGTAGAATTTTAGTAATTTGTCTATGTGTGCCATGAGATGAAAAAGGTTGAAAATTGCTGCCATAGAGCATTTTCATAGAACAACTGAACAATTGACATGGCCTCAGCAAGCTATGAGCTAATTACGCTGGGGTGGATAGAGATGAAACTTCCTGATATGCACAGCATGTTGTAATTGTTTTTTAATCTTTCTCTTATTGGCAATGACA